TCATGAATAGGCTCAGTCAGTGTGAACAGATTGCAACTTTATGCAAAATATTATGAGTATGTATGCATATAGGCAGCAGGCCCACGGGGTACATCCTAAGAGTACATGACCAGCCCTAACTGGTTTGGCTCAGTGGATAGAGCGTCAGCTTGTGGACTGAAGGGTCCTAGGTTCGATTTCGGTCAAGGGCACATGCCCAGGTTACAGGCTCAATCTCCAGTATGTGGCAGGCAAGAGGCAGCCAATCAATAATACTCTCTCATCATTGATGTTTCTTTCTCTCTCTTCTCTCTTCCTCTTTGAAATCAATAAAAAATATATTTAAATATATGTATTTAAAACAATTTTAAAAATTACTCAGAAAGCAAAATTCTCTTTAAAAGCCAACCAGAAAGTTGGCAAGAGAACACTTGATCCTCAAGTTCATCCATCTTTAACATATTTTTAAATTATTTATTTGCTGGAATACATAAGAAACTGTCAACATCTCTTATTTTAACGTAATTATGATGAAAAGAAACAGAAAATTTTTTGTAGCAAAGTTTCAGATCTTTAAATTATCCTATAATGCCCTAGCTGGTTTGGCCCAGTGGATAGAGCATCAGCCTGCACACTAAAAGGTCCCAGGTTCGATTCCAGTCAAAGGCAATGCCCAGGTTGCAGGCTTGATCCCCAATTCAGGGGCTTGATCCCCAATTCACTTTTATAACAAATTTCCTTAAAGACAAAGGAAACTGCTCAAGTCAGATTGCTAAAAATCTGCCTGCTAGTTGCCTTTGTGATCCTTCATATTGATAAAATATCCATCACTTTCTCTCACCTCGAGTAATTTTTACTGATGCTGTTCCAAAGGTTTTCCAAAAACTCCTAGATTATTTTACTAGACACAATATAGAATATAAATACAGTAGGCCAGGTTTTAGCACACTTGATGCCAGAAGGCAGTCGATCAATGTTTCTCTCATCACTGATGTTTCTCTTTCTCTCCCTCTCCCTTCTTCTCTGAAATCAATAAAAATATATTAAAATAAATAAATTATCCTACAAGATCATCCACTGACACAAAACTCTTAGGATGTATTTTGTGAAGATTCTATATAGCTATTGGAAACTTACATTACCCAAAGAATTACATATGTTGATTCTCTCTACAGACATTAAGAAATCATATTGATAGTGAAAATACTGGTTATTTTTCTTCTCTAAACTTTTCTGAATTTCTGAAACTTCTACCAACACTACCAAAAGTCAAGACAACCAACAAAATAACTACTTACTTTTAGATTTTCAGCTTTTCTAATAAAAAAATTCTATATATTATATGAAAATCAGTAATGATATATACCGGTACTCATTAGTGAAAAATACTGTTAGATAGATAAGAGACCTAATTAACCTGCTTTTGCTTTCAAATCCTTAACTTAAAGGATAGATTTATTCAGCCCAGCTGGTGTGGCTCAATGGTTGAGCTTTGATACATGAACCAAGAGGTCGAAGGTCAGGCCATATACCAGGGGTTGCAGCTCATTCCTCAGGAGGGGCTTGTAGGAGGCAGCCAATTGATGTTTCTCTCTCATCAATGTTTCTCTCTCCCCTCTTCTCTATAAAATCAATTAAAAATGTGTATTTAAAAAAAGATTTATTTAAAGCATAATGCTGACAAAAAAAAAAAAAAGTCATGTTTCTTGAGTCTTCCATGACAGATGAGCAACACTTGAAAGAATGATTAAATCTTGAGCCATGATCTCAATATCATCTGGAGTCATGATTTTAAAAAGCAAGTGAAAACTAAAATCAAGGTAATTACTATAAACATTTTTCTGCAATTAACTGGTAGATTTATGACAGGTACTTTATTCTTAACATATTCCTTATAGATGAAGTAGCCAAAATGATTTTCTTGACACTAAAAAGCCCACTAGAAACTAATGGATTAGGAAAAATGTTTCTGGCATGACAATAATGTTAACTATTTCTTAACCAGTGTGCTGAAATAACCACTGTCTACTTCACTGCAGAGCTCAGGAAATCAAAATCTTTCTTCAGCTCTCAAAAAAGAAAAGAAAGCTCTGTCACTTTCCATCTACTTTTCCACTGTTCAGATTCCACTTCCAGTCGCTTTTTGTTTTGTTTGTACTTGAAATTCAAGTGAGTCAGTTGTTACCCTTAATTTCTACCACAAAGATAACTCAGGGTTGTCAATGCTTCCAAACCAGACAAATAACATGGAAAGGAGTCAAAGGCACAGCTTAAAATTTAATCAGTGATTGATATAGTTCTTATTCTTACTCTAAAACCAAGAACTTACAACTTGAAGATTATAAAATAAAAGCACTCAGTAATAAAACTTTATCAATAAGTAATCTTATGTCAACCAATACAAATCTTAATTTAAGAAAAAAAATTAAGACTTTAAAAATTTAGAACAAAGTGTTTGAGTAAATGGACCTGGGTGGAGGTGATAAAAGGATTGTTTCATTTTTTTTCTCTATTTGCCATTTTTTTCTTATCACTTTTATAACAAATTTCCTTAAAGACAAAGGAAACTGCTCAAGTCAGATTGCTAAAAATCTGCCTGCTAGTTGCCTTTGTGATCCTTCATATTGATAAAATATCCATCACTTTCTCTCACCTCGAGTAATTTTTACTGATGCTGTTCCAAAGGTTTTCCAAAAACTCCTAGATTATTTTACTAGACACAATATAGAATATAAATACAATAGGCCAGGTTTTAGCACACTTGATGCCAGAAAAATATACATGGTGTCTGGGTTTGGTTCTGTTGAGGCCATTAATCCAGAGAATGAAAAGGAAGGATAACTTGGCACCATATTTAAGAATTACAATCCTTGCTGTTTATTCTCCTTCTTATCCCTTGAAAAATCCTCTGCTTCTCCAAAACAATTGATAATAATTCCTGAATAGGTCTCTTTCCTACAAAGCCTTCCTGAACCCAACTAGCCAACCACAGCCCTCTAACCTCCTCTGAAATGCTGTTGTTCCAATCCAACCTGCTATATCTATAGACATTTGCCATACATACAACCTATTCTCTATATGCCATTATTAGCTTCTTGGAAGTAAGGATTACATTCCTAAATCCTAGAACTACTAGAATGTCTTACATGACAGTGATGTACCCCACTCCGTGTGCTCTTAGTTTTCCAATTTCTTTTATATACACTCGAACCTCACAGCTACTCCTATTACCCTATTTTTAAGGAGAAACAAATTCAGAGGCTAAATAACTTGTCATGTTCTATTAAATTAATCTTCAAAATCTATTTACAGTAAATATATGTAGCAAATATAAGAAACCTCCTGAACACAAGAGGTTTACAAACCTCCAGAAAGTGGCAAATCCATGTACTTTATTGTTGCCAGGAAAACTACTAACTAACCTCAAGTTCAACTCTGCCCAACTAAGCAAAACAAACTTTGTCCTTGGAGCCCTTTATAAAGATATCTAAAAACTGCCAACATGGCAACTATGGCACTATGAAAGCACTATCCTCAACTTCTTAAAAGTTTATAGTATTTTAATAAAATACTATGGCTTCTGCTTAGTACAAAAAAAAGGGGGACATTTCAGCATCAAACCACAATATTACAAAACTTGGAAGTCAGAATGCATTTTGCAAGAACCATGTGACACACATATGACAGTCAGCTAAACTGATGGGTGGACCTTGAAGGGGAAATGTCTAATTGATCAAAGCGGCAAATAAACTCAACTTCTAGAACAAATACTGACTTTTGCTTTAAAAACAAAAACAACAAAAAAAAGTTCTCCCTGTCTCTCCAAAGCTTTCTGACACTGAAGAGGAATACCAATTAAATCTCCTCCAATTACTCATTAATTTATATATACAAACCGGAGGAGGATTTTGTTAGGGGCCATTAGGAGAGCCCAAACAAAGTCTTCCCAAGGAAAGTAAGCAGCAGCAGTTCCTAGGAAAAGTGCCAGGTGTGTCACATCTGCTGTGGTGACTTCTTGAGTAAGCAAGAAAAAGAAATGCATTAACTTTTCATGACACGTCATGGAACCTCATTCCCTATCTGCAAACATTCAAGTAGGTAATCCAAAACCTCCAGATCTAGCCTAGGACCCATTCAGCTTCTCTTCCAACTTCCCAGCAAAGTCTTCCTTTAATTAATTTAGTAATATCACAATACATGTTCCTAAGATGAGTCTTTCTCTTTCTTGACCTCCACAATACAAAATGACTTTAAGTGTCCTCTAAAAAAAAAAAAAAAAAAATCACAAATGCCTAGGCTTTTTAGGAAGGCAGTGGCGAATTCTTAAAGAACTCCAGGAAATAACTAAAAATAAATCAATTTTTAAAAGACAACTAAACATTTTAAAACGCTTCTCACCATCCACCCCACTTAGCCCTGGAAAAAAAAACACACACACACACACACAAAAAAAAACATCCACATTACCACCGACAATCTGGCTGAGAAGGTGGGGAAGAAAGCCAACAAACTCGAGATTTTTACAAGTAAACCGGTCCCCACCCAGGCGGTTCTGACAGCTCCGCGGGGAGCGGGCGCCGGGGCTGACAGGGCCCCCGCCGCCGCCGGCGCGCTGCTCCCACCCGCCCTCTCCCCCGAGAAACACACCGGGAAAGTCGCAGCCTCCAGAAGTTACCCCAGCCCACCGCCCCGCCGCCGGCTCCCCGCCGCCCCACCCCTCCCGCTCAGCCCACGCTCCTCCGCACCAGCCCGACCCCCCGGGCCTCCGCCCGGACGCGGCCCAGGCCCGGGCGGCTCGCTCCTCCGGCCCGACCCCTCCCCGAGGCCGCCCCTCCTCCGTCAGACAATGGGGCCCGGCTCCCCGCCGCCAGCCTCTCCCCGCGCCCCGTCACCCTCGCCTCACCCCGGCCGAGCCCCCCCCCCCCTCCGGCTCCTCCCCGGCCCTCCTCGCCCCCCTCCAAGAAGCCTTCCGGAGCTAGCCCCCCGGCCCGGCCGGCCGGCCGGCGCTCCCCTGCACTCACTATTCGGGATTCATGCTGGACATGTCACTGCAGCTGCCGCCGCCGCCACCGCCGCCCTTGCTGCTGCAGCCGCCGACCCGACTCTCCGCGCCGCCCCGGGTAGTCGGAGAGGAATGAGATAGGCTGTTCCGGAAGATCAAACGTCTTCCCCCCCTTACTCCGTCCCCTTTAGAACACAATCAGCAGCCGCCGCCACTCAGCTATCGCTTCCACCCAAAATGGCCGCCGGCGAACCAGGAAATAGGGAAGCCTGAGACGGAGGGGCCTTTACATAGCCCAGAGGCGGCCTCGCCGCGCGGCATGCCGGGAGAGCGTGTCGCTAGCCCTTCCATGGGCGCTGGAGGCGGACGGAGCGGCTGGGGGGCCGGGACTCGCCTTCCCGCCAAGCCCCGCGCGCCCAGCGCATGCGTCCTTGAGGGGCTGTCTCCCGCCCCATTCCCGGCTCCCTCACCGCCGCCCTCCGCTCCTCCCCGCGCCCCTCCCCGCTGACTCGCTGGCTAGGACTTTGCTCGGACTCCCCCTAGCGGATTGGCTGAGGCCGAGCGGCCCTGGTGATGTCATCAGTGAGACGTGGCAGCCGGGAAAGTCAGCACCCCAGAAGGGAGGAGGGGAGGGAACGGAGTGAGGGGGAGGGGAGGGGAGGGGCAGGAGGCGGTGCTGGCGGCGGGCGGAGGATGGGGGTGGGGGCAGTTCTAGGGACTCTGCGCGGGGAAGAGAGAGGGGTGGGAACCCGAGGGAGGGCTGGAGTGCGGAGGCGGGGAGGGGAGGGGAGGAAAGGGAGGCCTGCGTCCCGTGCGCCTTTTGCTGGCTTCAGCCTTCATGCTGGTCCGAGGACGTCCCTCTAAGGACGAAGAAGGAATCAGGGGGCCTCTGCTGAAAACGGCGTCTCTGGGAAACACGAAGCCATTCTTCCAGTTTCCCTCCTCAGTCACGTTACTAGCACTGTTGTTTTCTTTTTTTCATTTCTCACTATTCCCTTTGATCCCTGCTCTGATCTCCGCAGCCTGGACACTGCAGTCACCTCCAAGTAGCCGGGCTACTTCTGTCTTCTCTGTCCCAGGCCGTCTCCACACGCACAGCCAGATGGATCCTCCTGGAACAGCGCTCCCATCGCGACTCCACAACTTTTAATGGCTTCACAGGCCGGGGACTGGACACGGAACTGACAAAAATCGCAAGATGTTCCTGTCCCAGCCTCAGCCTTCAAGTTGAGTTGTACTTATTTTTGGTTGAAACTCCAGGAGTAGGACTAACACGTATTTTGATCTTAACAGCTCTCTTTGATCAGCTCGGGAATTTAAATCACTAAACTTTAACATACTATCTTGGGTTATTTCATTACAAAGGGCATAGTACAATATATTGTCCAAAGTTTATCTTCCAACTTGTTCTAAGAACCAAGGAAATGATATCCCAAGAGTGATTGCAAAATAACTTTAAATTCCTGTGACGCCAAAATAAGGAAGGAAAGCTGTTCTTATTTTTTACCCGTTTACCAACTACACCCCTTAACTCTAAATTCCACCAGAAGTACCCTGTATGGATCAATGATAAGACTTCAAAAAGTGTTGATTACCCCAGTCTCCTGTCCTTTCTTATATATTGTAATTTTACAAATGGAACACTCAGAAAAATCTCTGAAGAACTCATCCTGACCCCAAAATACAACTTTTAACCTGCCCCTCCCCTTGGAGGTATACCCCTAAATTTCCTTTAATTGCCTATTTTCTTTTCCAACAAAGAAATACCTCCTAATAACTTAACTTACCTGAGAATGTAGTTGTAAGAATTAGATTAAAACAAGATCAGAGCAGGGATCAAAGGGAATAATAAAGCATATCGCACAAAGGCTGTGGGGGCACTTGGTAAAAGAATTACTTTTCCCTTCCCTTAACTTTCCTGAAACTTCTAAGTGTACTTGCTGTAACCAAGGACAGAACACCTCAGACCTTACAGTGCTGTCATATGCAAAGAGATCAGTGGCAGCTTATGTCTAGATATTTGAGTATCTACTTTTATACTTCAGATTAACAACTCAGAATCATTCATTAAACTAGCATGAGCCCTGTTGGTTGCCCTATTGGTGAACTCTTTTAGAGCGATGTTCATTTGTTCTTGGGGTCATTCTTTTCTTCCTTCCTTTCTTCTTTCCTTTTCATTTGTCCATTTGTTCTTGGGGTCATTCTTTTCTTCCTTTCTTCTTTCCTTTTTATTTTATTCCCTTTTTCTTTTATCAAATAACTACGACCTGACACATGTAGGAAGTGGTTATAAGGTTAAGCCTCGGACTGACCTGCTGACAAAGTTTCAAACAAGTCCAAGCTTGGAGGGCACAGTCCTCTCAGCATAAGTAAGCTTGATCTTGTAACTGCTCCCTAGATCTTTTCTGGGTAGCCAGTGGGCTGTGGGAGGGACAGCAGGTGCTACCAAAACAAGTGAAACTTACAAGAACACTGTAAATTACCTTGTTTGTCCCTGACAATAAAGCATCAGCTTTGCAGTCTGGATCTGTTCTGTGGCCTCAGCAAGGCACAGAAGATCAAGTTACCGTAGATCCTGCTTTTTCCCTTTGCCATCATTTCTCCATCCTTCATCCCATTCCCCCTCCCCCCCTCTGGCTCAGGCTCGCGGCCCTTGGCTGTGCTGGTTCGGCATAGACGCATAATAAATGTGTTTGGAACTTGTGCTTGGAACCATGAGGAATACAAGGGTGAAGAACTAATAAAAATATTAGATTAAATTATATGAGGTGTGTAGGGACAGAAATCAAATCCGTAATTGCCATGAACTAGAAGTGGGAGGAAGGAACTATCTACAAAGAGACAGAAAGGAACTTTGTGTGATGGAAATACAGTAGCTACACAAATTTTGCATTGCACTGGCACCTTTAACTGCCATGTTCAAGGGTTAATTGTACTCTGTATCATCATTGTGGTGATAGTTATACCTGTTACGAAAATGATATAAGGTGAAAATACAAAGGAGGGGAATAATTCCAACTCAAATTATTGGGAATGCTTTTATTAAGGAAATGATATTTGAATTAGGCCTTGAAAAAGATTAATAGCTTGATCATTGGCAAAACGGGGAAGAGGGAGCCACATCAGTTTTTGTCTTTTAGAATGACAAAAGAAAATGAGCATAACCCTAAAAGTGCAAAGATACACATGAGTTCAAGGAATAGTTCCATGGAAGACGAGGTGGAAGAAATTGAGGTTAAAATGAGAGCATGGGGCGCCCTACCTGGTTTGGCTCAGTGGATAGAGTGTGAGCCTGCGAATTGAAGGGGCCTTGGTTCGATTCTGGTCAAGGGTACATGCCTGGATTGCAGGCTCAATCCTCAGTAGGGGGCGTGCAGGAGGCAGCCTATCAATTATTCAATCTCATCATTGATGTTTCTATCTCTCTCCCTCTCCCTCTCTGAAATAAATAAAAATAATTATTAAAAAAAAAAAAAAAAAAGATGAGAGCAAAGAGGAACCCCAAATGCCTGCTGAGAAGTTTTACCTTTATTCAGTGGGCAATAGAGTCAGAAGTTCTGAGAAGAGTGAGGTAGTCAGCTCAGTGTTTTAAAAGTACCCAGTTTCCCCAAAAATAAGACAGTGTCTTATATTAATTTTTGCTCCCAAAGATGCGCTAGGTCTTATTTTCAGGGGATGTCTTATTTTTCCATGAAGAAGAACACGGTACACATTTATTGTTAAATGAAAATAAAGGAAATTTATTACCTGTATACGGTACGGTAGTATGGTAGTTGTCAACACAAACCAGACAAACTGTGAATCTTACAGTATCAAGAATTTACTTATTTATTCAATGACAATCATGTCATCTTCTGGAACATCATCATAACAATCCAATTTCTGAATTTCCTGGTGAATTTCTTGTGACTCCATTTCTTTCAGAATCAGTGGACCAAATCTCTCATGTTTAGCCTGGGGGGCCTTATTTTTGGGAGATGCCTTATATTTCATTCAGAAGGAAACCTGTAAGTAGGTCTTATTTTCAGAGGATGTCTTATTTTTTGGGAAACACGGTAGCATTTTGGAGGTAGGGAGATTAGTTAAAAGATAATTAGATTCATTTAGGCAAGAAATGATGAGTCCTGACCTAGAGCAATTGAATCAAGAATGGAAAGGAGCCGAAACTGGTTTGGCTCAGTGGTAGAGCGTTGGTCTGTGGACTGAAAGGTCCCAGGTTGGATTCCGGTCAAGGGCATGTACATTGGTTGCAGGGGGTGTGCAGGAGGCAGCTGATTGATGCTTCTCTCTCATCGACGTTTCTAGCTCTCTATCTCTCTCTCCTCCTCTCTGTAAAAAATCAATAAAATATATTTTATAAAAAATAAAAATAAAAAAGAATGGAAAGGAGAGGAGATTCCAGGGAGGAGGAGATAGAATTTGAAGGTGTGGGGAGGGAGGTACTAAAAGTGACTCAGAGATACTGTATCCTGTTTACCTATTAGCTTGGGAACCAAGGCCCCAACCAAGTCAGAGAACAGGGGAGGAGGGAGGTGGAATGGGGTAAAATGGAGGAAGACTGGCAATGCCATGCAGTTCAAAGTCAGGGTTAAAGCTGCCCTGGTGTGGAAGTACTAGAGTAGAGCCATGCTGAACAAAGGGATATGTTCTGAGAAATGTTGTCTTTAGGTGATTTTGTCGTTGCATAAACATCATAGAGAGTGCTCTTATACAAACCTAGATGGTAGGTCCTACTACACACTTGGCTGTATGGCATAGCCTATTATTACTCCTAGGCTACAAGTCTGCACAGCTTGTTACTACACGAAGCAACATGAGGATAAATCAAACATAAGCAAAAAATGATCCAATCAAGAGACACGTCAACACAAGATGTATGAGGCTACTGCTAACGTAACAGCATACTGTTTTATAAAACTCTAAATAGCCAAAGTATAATATAATAAATGCACAAACCAGCCATAGTCATTCATCATCATTATCAAGTTGTATGTACTGTTTAAGACAGGACTGGTAGGGGAAGAAAAGTGTTACGTACTGTA